AATCCTTGTTCTTTTGTTCACGTCTAAGAAGGGTAGGTTGAGTAATATGGCATGGGCTTGCATCTGCTCAGACATGGGTAAGTCTGCTGTTCTGATAGGGTTCTCCTCCAAATGGGAGGGCCAACTGAGGGCTGAGTGCTAGGGTGGGTCATGTTAGCTGGCAGGTAGGGGAAGAATGGGGACCCTTCCCAAACTACAGCGGATGGGGGCTTTGCCAGGTTTTCAACCCCTACTGGAAGCCCTAGCTCTCCTTTCAACACTATTCAGTACAGTTCTTAGGGATACACCTTGGCTTGTGACAAAGGTGGCCTTAATATTTCCCTCAGCTTAACAAATCTTAGGCTTCTTTTTGCCTCTAGTTCCCTGGCATCCCCTTGTTAGAGCATTCTCTTCAGAAAACTTGCAATTGTGAATTTTTTTCTCTGCCCCTTTGAAATATATATATATATATATCTTTTCCCAGACTATTGCCAGTTTTACCACCCAGGAATGTCTTTCTCAAGGACTTGGGAGCCATCCCTTTGAAATATAATCATCAAGGAAGACAGCCCCACTGACTCCCCTAGTCTCTATGGGACCGTGGGAACCTAAATTCAGTGGGTGCCAATTAGCAAGCACAGATGGCCTAATCACAGAGAAAAACATTTGCAAACTCCTGAATAACACACTGTGCTCAATGGCACATCCCATTGATCAACCTCCCCCTAACATCCTTCAGCACTTTCCGCTAACTCGCCTTAGCACTTAAAAACCCTCCTGCCTTTTGTTTTAGTGGAGTTGAGCTCACTCTCTCTCCTCTTTTGCAATAGTCTTGAATAAAGCCTTGCTTGCCTGTTTAACTTTGTCTAGTGCAAATTTTTCCTTTGACACTGCAAGTCCCAGTGGTGGGAATGGATGGGACAAGGGCATCTCCCTATAGCTGCTTGAGTATTGATCTTCATAACTCTCACCCCTGCTTTCTCCATCTGCCACCCAGAGCCCAGAACCTCCACTGCTTCTTTCTCCCATGTGTGTCCTGGACTCCTCTACTGTGTTCGATCTGTTTATAGCACTCTGTTCCTTTCCTGTCTTCCAGAAATTTGATATATTATAAATGCTTTACTTTCCAAATCATATAGCTAATTCCAATGATTGCAAGTTATTCTTAATCTTTGCATATGGGTATTAATATTCTGGGCCTGATTTGCATCTTCCTATCTATGTTTAAGTATAAACTTTCTGAGGCTTACCCGCTAGGGTACAGTGTTAATATCTTGAACACATTGCGATTACTGGGCCAATTATTTATGGTCTCCATCAGACCACCATCCCAGCAACAGGGGTTGCTCACTGGCCAAAAGGGACTTGAGACCTGGGCCTGTGCACTTCAAGGGTGATTCCTCTCCACCATATCTGGGTACATGGAACTCTATTTTAATGTTCAAAATGACAACAGGAGGTTTGGAGTTCACTTCTTTTAAATTCAATTGGCGTCTTCTAGGTTCTAATTATACACTCAAGTGATTCTTCTGTGTGACTTGCGTAGACAGAAGTCAGCAACTTCTCTGAGGGCGTAGCAAACACTCCTCATGGCTGGGCTAGATTTTTTCATTTCTTTAGTTCTTATAGGACATTTATTACCTTCTCCTCTGGTACTAAAGACACTTTAATGCCAGTCCATCAGTCCTTTAGGTCTTTCTGTAATTCTCTCTGAGCTGTGTGGCTGGAATTTTGCAACCTCCTAGGGTTGTGGCTGACTTCCTTCAGGAATTTCTCTCTGCATGATTGAATTCTGAATTTTCATGGTCTTCCTGACTGGCACCATGGCACCGTTCTCAGATGCCTGATTGGGTTCTGTGTACCTGCCAAACCCTCGTCCGGTTCTGAGGCACATCATGAGGTCACGAGGATGAGAGCTTGGACTGGAATGGTGGTAGAGGACCCGAAGAGGATTTGAGAGAGGTTTTGGCAAAGCTGAAAGAATTTATTGATGGGTTAGATGGGGGGATGAGGGAGAGGGATTTCAAGGATGACTTCCCATTTTCAGCTTGAGCAACTTGGAGGGTGGAGATCTTATTTCCTGAGGAGAGTGGCTTGGAGAAGAAGCATGGCCCACAGCAGTTATAGTTCCACATTCACGGACACTGAGTATCCATCTCAGTTCCCCTCAGGGCCAAGCACTGCAGATATCTAAGGAGAAGAGCCACACCTGAACAGCAGTGGGAGTGAACTGCCATTGTACTCTACTCTCTGGAGCCTGTCCTGTGAAGTTCATTAGTGGCTATCCCCCAGCTGGGAAGCCATGCTCTTCAAGACAGACTTATTCCAAAAATTGTCTTCTGGCAGCCCTCTCCTCTGCAGGCTTGCTTCTGAGCCTACATGACCTGATCCATCCATTCATTCATTCAACCAGTAGTCTCCAGTGCCTACTCTGTACCAGGTACTCTCTAGGCACTGAGGGTGGGGCAGTGAATAAAATATTAAAAAATTGCTACCCTCATGAAGCTTACATTCCGATTGCAAGGCAACAGGTAAACACAAATAAGTAAATATATAGAACAATACAAGTTGATAAGTGCTATGGAGTTAAAGAAAACAAGTAGGGAAGGAGGATAAGGAATTGTTGGGGGAGAGGGAGGTGCTGTATAATAATAGGATGCTCAAGGAAGGCCTTTCTGATAAGGTGGCACTTGAACAGAGACTTGAAGGGGGCTGACCAGATTGGGGAGAGGAGCATTCCCACAGAGGGAATAGGCATGAGACCCTGGGGCTGGGTCCTCTCTGTTGTGTTTGAGGAACAGCAAGGCAGGCATTGCAAGGAAGGCATTGAACTGGAATGGAGGGAGCTGGGGAGGAAGTGGGAGGTGAGGTCAGATGGCAGGCAGGCAGGTTTACCTTGCTGGTGGCCAGGTGGCTGTTGGTTACCTGTATGGCTATAAGTCTCATGTCTTTGTGTCCCTGCTGCTCAACCTCTGACTGCTGCCTTGTTGACTAATTTGGTCCTCCAGCTTTGGGGCATCTTCTGTGTCCAACAGCTCACTGACCCTTCATGTCTGTACTCCCTCCCAACCTTCCCAGAGATCCCAGGCCTTCCCCACTTCCTCACTGATTCTTGTCTGTTTGGCTTTGGGGCTTGAGCTCCCCTGAAGCTTTGATCACATTTTAGTGTGAATGGAGGTGCAGAGAACTGGTTTTCAGATGGGATTTGAGTGTGAGAGTGAGCCCAAGGGCATCAGGGCTCTAAGGGTTGGAGTTTGGAAGAGAGGGGAGCAGTAAAGTGAGGAAATGGGCCTTGATGGGGGAATGTGAGGGCACCAAAGAGAGACTTTGCTAATTTCCTAACTTTGGCGCTGAGAGTAGCTGGTCCCCCACACCCCACCACTAAACTCACAGCTGTAGAGATCTCTGAGCTGGTGTCAAACAGCATCCTTCTTCCAAAGGAGTTTAAGATTGAGGCAGGAAACCAAGGTGTGTCTTCCCCAAGGCCTGAGTTGGAGGGCATGTGCTGGACCATACCATGGCCCTGAGTACCATTTCTGGTCTGGGTCCAGTGAAGCATGGCCAGACTGGCATCAGCCTCAGCAACCCCAAGAGCAGAGTACCTCCCACCTACCTCCTGTTTCCTCTTTGTGTCCCACAGAGCACTGCCTTGTACTTGGCTGTATCTTTAGTTGGGCTGGTGGTGGGGGGATGGTCAACTTTCCAAAGTCACTTTTACACCAGGCAGCAGGCATAAGGGCCAAGGGAGCAACGGAAGAGAATACAGGACTTCAGTTGGGGGGATGAGTGGCTGTGGGTGAGAAGGACAAGAGGTGCTATTCACACTAGATCTTGAGGGGTGGACAGAGAAGTAAATGTTTTAAATGGCAGAGATGGGAGGAAGAGCTTTCAAGGAAGGGATCTCTGGGAAGGTTGGGAGGGAGTACAGACATGAAGGGTCAGTGAGCTGTTGGACACAGAAGATGCCCTAAAGCTGGAGGACCAAATTAGTCAACAAGGCAGCAGTCAGAGGTTGAGCAGCAGGGACACAAAGACATGAGACTTATAGCCATACAGGTAACCTTGAGACATGAGACTTATAGCCATACAGGTAATTTTGTTGGCTGAAATAAGGAGTCTAGGTGATATTCGTGAAGGAACCTGTTCAATAATCAGTGTGAGGAGTTCGAACCCTGGGAAAGAGTTCAGCACAGCACTCTGATGGAACTGCGCCGAGCGGTGTGAATTTAAGTGCAGCTTATATCTCTTTCACAAACAGTGCACGTGCAGGGAAGAGGAAAAGAAAAAAACCTTACAACTAGATTTCATATATGTTAAGAAAAAAAGGGGGGGTAGAGTACATCTGGGCTTTTCTCTTGATTATACATTGGAGGAAGCATAAACAGGAAGTTCTTGGTTATACATCAAGTTCAGAGATGCTGACGATATCTGCGTGGAGGTTGTTAATTATTCCCTCAATCTCTAAGAAATGCAGCTGGGAAATGTGAGAGAGAGGTCCCTCTTTATCTCTTTCTGCGGTGGACCTGTCCAGCTGGCATCCTCAGTCATGAGATGTGGGATTGCAAGGTCATTTGACACAGCTAAAGATGGGCTGCAGGGCTGCTTCACAGCACAGCATGGATTTTATTGTACTGATTCAAAGCCTATGCAGTTTTCTTGTTGGATTTGCCTATTAGACCAGGGAGAGGGGTCCCAAAAATCTGGCCACAAGCTGCAGCCCCCAGCATGGGTGAGTGCAATGATGAGGTGTATTAGGTATGCACCTCAATTACCCATTTCCCATGCAAACAAACAATATTCAACACGGTTGTCTGTATTTTCACACTGTTCCCGTTATCTAAGGCCCTGATGTAGATGTCACTTGTTTCCGTCCTCCTGATTCTGACTCTGCCCCACCATTCCACTGTTTAAATTGAAGTGTTTAGAACGGCACCTCCTACCTAGTAAATACCAAATAAGTGTCCGTAAAGTAAAAGAAATAACCAGGCTGTCTTATGAGAGAACCAAAGTAAACAACCAGGTTCCCTTTCTATAGTGCAGTTTTATTTCAACAACCAGGTGCCTGCAAAGGGAAGACAGATGCTGTCTGGGGGCCAAGGTGTCCTCAGGCCCCAGAGGGCAGAGTGTCATTCCAAAGCTTCAGGAGAGAGCAGGAGTTATCAGAGTGTGAGAGCACAGAAAAGCAAAACGGGGCTTCAGTTCAGGCCGGGACAACTCCCAGGGACCATCTGGGGCTGAGAGTTGGGGAGGGGAGGTGGCTCTGTGGCCTCTTCTCATGTTCCCTGGGCCATGTTCCCAGATCAGTTGGATTTGCCGTCCAGGTATCTGATGTACTGCTGCACCCAGGCATCGCTGGGGTTGGTGCAGATTTGTCGCCCCTTTTTGGTATGAAAGCTGTGCAGAAGAAGGAGAAAGATGAGGAATTGAGAGTCAGTAGGCAGGAGAGGAGCCCATTCTGCCACCCCATTGTCTTCCCCATCCCTCTCTCTGCTGGATCTGGCCCTTCAAAGAGAGAGAGAGACCACCCCCCCTTCCACCCCAGCCAAGCTCCCCAGTCTTACTGCCAGTCTCTGTTGTTCTCTGGGGAGTCATTGAAGGCCCCACCAGGCAGCCCCACTTTTCTTCTTTCCTCCTCTTTCCTGATCCATCTCTATGCACTGGGACCAGCTCCTACCACCTTCCTGCAGGCCCAGCTCAGGCTGGGAAGTTCCCACACTGCAGCTTCCTCCTGTGTCCCCTGCTCGTCCCCATCACATTCCTAGAGAGTCCCACCCCCCTGTTCCCCTCTCCCAGGCCCTGCTGGTTCTCACATTTGCACCCCCTTCCATTGCCAGTGGGGCTGTACTTACATGACCCCTGGCATGGAGCACAGCTCACTGGTCCAATCATAATCTCTTACAAAGCGGAGTGGGATTTTCCTCGAGGTGAAAGAGAAACAGCAGGAAGCCTGATTATTAGCTGGCTCTGCAAGGTAGAGAGCTGGATGAAGCTGAAATCTTCTCCACGAGGAAGCATAGACCTATAACTCTGTCCCCAGAGTACCCGGGAAGAGAAAGGAGGAGAGGAGGACACAAGAACACCCAGGAGGGAGTGTGACCTGGCCCCTCTCTGGCAGCTCTTCCTCCTCCCACTCTTAGATGATCCTTCTCCAGCACCGCTCTTCCCTCCCCATGCCAGCCCCTCCTGACCTCTCCTTCTCTCACGCCCTCCCCAGGGCTGGGATGTGACTCTGTGATCCCAGTGTTTCAAATTTCTGACAGTCTTCAGAATTCGGGAATGAGAAATCAGGATTCCTGGGAGTTCTCAAATCATAAATTATTGTATTTTTTCTTTTTTTTAAATTGAGATACAATTGACATATAACATTTTATTAGTTTTAGGTGTACTGTATATTTTTCATAACACTTTATTTTCATGTTTTGAAGTAATAATCCCTGACCACATAGTAAACAGTGAATCACTTTTCCTTGATAGGTTTGTACTAAAAATTTCAGAGATTTTCTTTAAGAAAAAAAGCAAGGTAATAGTAAATGATGTCAATGTGTCGTGACAAGATTATATCTTCAATAACATGTTAAATGTTCCCTAGCAGATACAGTCGATAATAGAAAACATGAAAAGAAAGGAATATTAACACAAAATAGATGGCCAATAAAAAGCATTTAAAAATTGAAAAAAATAATATGACTTTTTGATACTTAAAATATTTCAAAGTTATAATTCAAAAATGAAATTTGAAAATACAGGAAGCATTAATTGCCCTATTTGTAATTTTGCTCTTTGTTTTGTAACAAATATTCTAGACATAGAACATTTTTTCCATTTTGTGTTGATGTTGGCCGAATTGTTGAAAGTGTGTCCAAACGCGTCTTCGAGTTGGGCGTGAGAGTACACACTGCTTCTGATAAGCTCATTTCCTTTGTTAACAATGGGCATATCTTGTCTACTGGTCCTGACTTTGGTTTTTTCCATTCAAATTGATATTGCTTTTGCTCATTTAGACTTTATATACAAATTGATAAATGCTCCTGGGTTCATGTCCCAGGATTCCACAGTGCTGACATATTTTCTCTTTGTATTTCTTCTGTTAAAGCATTTATAAAGAACTACAGCCTATAGCAATTATTCAAACACTGGGCAGTGTCAGTGAACATTATTGTTCAAAGAACATAATATTCACATCTCCTACAAGAATCACAGTTGAAATTGCCCATTTAAGGACTTATTTTGCTTCCAAAACTTGTTATTTCTGGAAACTGTTCGTATAAAGTATGTGAGGTATACAAACACATCAGCATTTACTTAGCAGCAGACAGGCCCATGAACTCACACTTGTAACATGGCAACCACTTCAGGCTGTTGGATTGTGACCACGTCTCCCTACGTTCTCCTGTCCCAAGTCCCCCAAGGCAGCTGATCTTAACTGTGAGCTCCAAGTGTCAAGAGTTTCCTGCTCTTGCTCATGATGTTCGTGGGTTCTTATAAATCAGTAACATCTATGTTGATTGTTAAGCTTTAATTCCTGCAGGAGAATTGCAATACTTTGCCCCATTCTCCTAATTTCTCAACTGAGTTTTCTTGGGATGTAGGATTTGGAAAAACACGTCATTTACTGAGAAATGCTAAGAGGGAATTCCCACGTGGAAATGCTAGTGGATGCCCAGGGTGGGCTACAGCAGGGCAGGACTGTTCCCCTGCATATGAGGGGTCCTCTCTCACAGGCCTCAGGGAGATGCTAGAAGGGGGCGGTTTGCTATGCCCAGAGGAGCAGAGCCTTGACTGTGAAGCGGGAGAGCTAGATTTGTTCTTGCCTCTGCTCCTGAAAGCTGTGTGACTCCAGACAGGGCACTCGCCCTTTCTGAACCTGTGTCCTTAAAATAGTATCAATGGGAGGGGCTGGCCCCGTGGCCGAGTGGTTAAGTTCGCGCGCTCTGCTGCAGGCGGCCCAGTGTTTCGTTGATTTGAATCCTGGGCGCGGACACAACACTGCTCATCAAACCACGCTGAGGCAGCGCCCCACATGCCACAACTAGAAGGACCCACAACGAAGAATATACAACTATATACCGGGGGCTTTGGGGAGAAAAAATAAAATCTTAAAAAAAAAAAATAGTATCAATGGGGCAAGTACTGTGCATATTGATTTATATACCAATGATTGCTTTGTGTGATAAAGGCCTTGTCACCCCCATGAAACAGATGAAGAAACTGAGGCTCAGGAAGCCTAAACAAGGCATGGAAGGTCACAAGCTGACCAGTGTAGGGCTTCCAGACTGAGGCTCCCTGGGAGCAGAGACAGCGTGTTGACTGAACGGGTGGCCCAGAGTATGATACCAACCCTGATATCAATTTCCCCGCATTAAACCTAGCATATATGGGGTTAAAACCAAAACACTCATTTCCTGCCTACTCTCTGGCTTCCTGGCTCCAGAATCCACTATCCTCCATGGAGACAGACACCGTCAAGGACAAGCACCTGGATCATCTCCTCTCCGCAAAGAGATACAGGCTGGTGGGAAAGCTGCTGACCAGCAAGGTCATGGGCTTCCTCCTCTCTTCAAGTAGTCTCAAGGCCAAGGACAGGCTGGTGGGAAAGCTCAGACCAGCAAGGCCATATGCTCCCCCTCCCCTACCTAAAACCCCAAATAAAAACCCTTCCTTTTAGCTTTTCGGGGAGTTTGGGATTTCAGCGTTAGCTGCCCTCTCTCCTTGCTCAGCACTGTGCAATAATAAAATTCCTGCCTTCTTCCACCACACCCGGTGTCAGAGATTGGCTTGCTGCGCAATGGGTGAGCGAACTCACTTCAGGTTCGGTAACAAGTAGGCTTTTAATATATGTTTGTTGAGTGAGTGAGTGACTTCAGTTTGAATCTATGTCTTCCTGACTGTAAAGCTGGTTATTTCTCCATTCTGTTTTGCTGTTCTCTCAAGAGAAAAAAAAGCTTCCATTGACTAAGTCTCTACCACAGGCCTGGTGCATGGCTCAGTTCCTGACGGGGCCCGTCTCCGTTCCTCACAACAACCCTTCGAGAAAGGATGACTTATTCCATTTGCAGATGAGAAGTCTTGTGATGATAACAGGGTTATGGGAAAGCATTAAGGAGTTCTGTGGCTAGTTGCGGTTAAAATTCCCAGAAAGCAGCCATCGTTCCTTGGACTAGCAGATGTCAAATGAGAGTCCTACGACTGAGTGTTTTTCCGCCTCTGATTTTGATTGAAATTCAGCTCAGGAGAGCAGTTTCTTCGGAAATCCCCTTCCCAGGCCCTTGCTGTGCCACTTTCTCCCTGGGCTCCAGCCCACTGTTGAGTGGCAACCGTGCCTAGTTAGGGCGGAAAGGGCATTGAACTGGGGAGTCAGGACACCTGGGGTGGAGCCCTGCCTCTTGCAGAGTCACCAGCTGCTCCCTCTTCATGTGTCCCACAAATATTTACTGAGCGCTTACTGCATGCCGGGAGCGGCTCTGAGCCATATACACAACTAGATGCATCTTTAGGAGCGGAGAGAAGCTGATACAGGGGTCTCAGGCTCAAATGCCCCTGCAGGCCAGGCAGACAGCAGCTGGATGTGGCCTGGCCGTGGGGACTCCTGGGACCTGGGGAGCGCATCCCCTGCCTAAAGGGGAAAGTACTCACCACCTCATTTCTAGTTGAAGGTTAGCTTGTGGAAACTTGGGCTCATGTCTGCTTGGTCTTCCATATTTTCAAAAGAAATGGAAAATATAGACTTTTAAATGTTTCCAATTTTTAAATGTTGGCAACCAATCCAAATATTGTAAAACCCTATCTAAGCTGTGAAGACAGTTTGATCCTTCACGGTTTCCTCTCTCCCAGCCCATGCTTACCCCTGGCTCCTGTGTCTCTCCGGGAGGCGGCTGAGCAGATAGCCTGGGGGCCTCTGGATCAGCTCCTCTATGCTGGGTACCCAAAGGCCAGGGAGGTTGTATTCAGAGTCAGGTTTTCCTCTCCCCAGAGGAGACAGAAGTGAGTCCCAACCAGGAATGGGGAGAGATCCTCAGTAAAGATGCTGTCTGTTTCTCAGAGACCCCCATGCAGCCTTTTCTGGAACACCCATGTGTCCTCCCTTTAGCTCCCTGCCTCCAGCCACTGTGTTCTCTTTGTCCAGGGGAATGAGAGTAACAGATCTTACCTTCACTAGCTTCAGAGTGGAGGGCAGCAAGAGTGAGGAGGAAGGCCAGGGTAACCAGGCTGCCCCTCATCCTTCTGGTGGCTGACAAGCTGTAGGTACACAGCTGGGTCAAGGACTCTTGAGTTCTCTGATGCCTTGAAATCTGGGTTCTGAGCTTCTTTTGTAAGAGGCTGCTGGTCAGGAAGTCACAAGACAGAAAAATGCAAGATTGCATGGGGGTTTTGGCTCTTTGGAGGCCTGACTGCTGAGATATCTAAAATATGAGAAATGAGTCAATTTATTCAAAGAAAAGCATAAGGCAGAAAATGACCCTAGGTTTCACATTCTAGATGGCTTACCTCTGGAGGGTGGTGATGGGGGAAGCCCAGAGACCAAGGGCTTCGGAGTGGAAATTGCCCTCCTCTTCCACCCCTCCCCAGGGAGCCTGGTTAAGCCTCCTTGGTGAGCTCATCCTTGAGTGTGCACCATGAGTTCAGAGGCCTGGGCAACTGTATGGGGCTCAGCAACTCCAGGGCCCACCAGGATAGGGATGTGCTGTGTCTACCCCCAGCAAAAGGGCTGACCTCAGGCCTGATGGGGGCTGGGAGTAGGGAGCTGGGTCGAAAGGGGATCCTGGGATGGCTGGGTCTCAGCAGGCAGGAATGGACGGAACTCTCACCTAGGCTGAGCTGAAGGCCCCTGCCCCCTGTCCAGCACAGGGAGCTTGATCAGATCCTTAGCAACTGAGGATCTGGACTCTCTGCTCTCTCTGGTTGTACAAATATTTCTCTGGGACCCTGTTTTCAATTCTTTTGGGTGTCTACCCAGAAGTGGGAGTGCTGGATCATCTGGTAAATCTATTTTTAATTTTTTGAAGAAGCTCCATCCTGTTTTCCTGCAGCTGTTGTACCATTTTATATTCCCATCAATAGCTCACAAGAGTTCCAACATCTCTACATCCTTGCCAACATTTGCTATTTTCTGTGTTTTTGATAGTAGCCATACTAATGGGTGTGAGGTGGTACCTCATTGTGGTTTTGATTTAAGCACCTGTGTTTTTATCAGTTTTATATAAAGGGGTTCCAGGTAAGTTTGTTTGCAAAGAAAATGTTCCCCTACTAAGAAGAAAATTTTGAACCCCTGTTCTAATGGAAAGGGCTTTTGATCTAGTTAGAGCCATTGTTCATAGTCCTGGAATCCACCACCTATGAGCTACAGCAAATTTTGAGTAATGTCATTAAGCTTTTAAAGCTTCACCTGGCCCCAGAAAGGAATACGTAACATAAACAGTCTAAGTGAGTGAAATCTCCCTTATGTGTCCATAGTGAGACCTTCCTCAGGGCTGATGTTCATTCATTCGGTAGCTGTTTACTGAGTTTCTACTGGGTGCCAGGCACTTTCTAGGCCCTGGGGATACAGAGGTAGACAAGAAAGGCAAGGCCCCCGCTCTGCATGTGCTCAGATTCTAGTAGGGGGAGACAGACAAGGAAGCAGGAGATGGAGTTAAAAGCTAGGAAGAAAATAAACCAGAGTGATGTGATAGAAAGTGCCTGAGGGTTGGGTGGAGGTTGCTTCATAAGCTGGTCAAAGGAGCCTATTCAGAGGGGGTGTCATTTCAGCTGGGACCTGCTGGTTGAGAAGCAGCCAGACTCGCACAGATCAGGAGGAAGTGTGTCCCAAGGACAGGGAAGAGCAAGGGCAAATACCTAGAGGTGGGAATGGGCGTGTGCATTTGAGGGACAGATGAGCAGGTGACTGGAGAGAAGGGAGTGAGGGCAAGAGCGATTGGAGATGAGGTCCACTGTCCAACCCTTTTGGGGCTGGACACTCAACAATTTGGATCCCATTTTACCCCCATTTCATTCCTGTGGGCACTGCAGGTGGTGACAGAGCAAGCCAGTGTGGCTCAGATTCCTGTGGGGCCCTGGGTAGCTCTGCCCTGGAGAGCAGGTGGGTGGATTTGACAAGAATGCTTGTCAGTTGCTTTAAGGGAAAGCAAGGAAGAGAAGACCATGGATTGCTCTCCCCTTAGACTGCAGTCCCCCTCCTCTAGGTGGATGGAAAGGATCTGAGCTGCCCGCTTTCTCCCAACAAATCAAAAGCATAAGTGGGAAGCGGTGTGTCTCTCCATTTCTTGTAAGTTCAGAGAGAGAGAGAGAGGCACCTAGATGGATGCCTCTGACGGCTGTTTTTCTCCTCCTTGCTGACTTTGGGCTACAGTATGTGCACAGGAGGGGGCAGGTGGCAGACAGTGGCCTTTGTCCCCTTGGTGTGGAAGATGTGGGGGCAGGAGGATGGAAGAAGCTGACTTGTACCATCATTTGGGTCTCTGTGACAACTCCTGGGCTCCTGAATCTCAGTTACTGGTGACACTGAGTCATCTGCCTGCCGTGCTTTGGTAAGCCACATCCACCCTTCTCCTGGAGCTTCAGTCTTGCTTGGCTGACTCTACTTCCCCTGTTCAACGGAGAAGGACTGGAGTGGGGGAGGGGGACTTGGGAGGATTAAGGCTCCAGGTTTTAACTTTTTTTTTTGGTAAAATTGTTTTTGTTTTTGCACACTGGTACATACAACAATGGTGCCAGCCCACAATACATTGTGCATTAGTTTCCTGAATTTTGCTGTTTTCCCAGCTGATCCCAGGATATAGATACTGAAGATCAGAGTCTGTCTACAGCTCTCTCCAGCTCACCCATCCTCAGATGTCCCTTGCTGCTGGAGAAGGAAGTGGGGTTGGTCCAGCCTGATGTGCCCTAGCTGCACTCATGCTGACTTGCAGTGACCACTTCCTTTTTAAACTGCCAGCTAAGGATTTCTTACCAAAGATTGCATAGATATAGAATCTTGCCCAGAACAGAAGTGGCTGATCACTCTTGCGTTCATGGACTCCATCTTCTTTCCCCCTCCTCTTTTCAAAAGCTGCCTACTGTTTGCTTGTCTTCAATATCCTACAGCCTGCATGCCTCCCAAGAATCCACAGAGATCATCAGTTTGTACTGTACATTGTCTCAGCTGCTGGAAAGGACTTCATCTGAGCCAAGGAATGAAACACCATACAATCTACCTACCCATCTTGGGCTTCGATTTCTTCTTATCTAGGGGAAATATGGCCCTTCTTGACTGTAATGGACAGAGAAGGGACAAACGAAAGCTGCAGACCAAATGTTCTGCTTTATCTCTTTCACCTGTTCAGTTAACACTCTATTCATTCATTAATTCACTCATTTATGTGTTCATTTACTCTAGAAATAATCATTGAGTGCATGCTATAAGCTGAACACTGTTCAGGCACCAAAGATTTAGCCATGAACAAGATGCATAGGGTCTTCTGCGAATTTAAGCAAGCAATAGGCCTTTGGGACTTTCTTCTTAAAACAAAACAGGGCAAAATAAAAGCTTTCATCATGATTCATCATTTAAAAAGCAACGCTATGGAGAAATTTAGAAAATACTCGAGCAAAAAGAAGACAGAAGAAATGCCTTGTGATCCCACAGTAATATTTTTAGATGTATCTTCTTCTTTTTCCTCTGCATGCTTTCTCCCTAGCTGAGAGCATACCAAAAAACCAATTTCATAGTCCGTGCTTTGACATATTGTGAACAGTTTCATTCCATTATAAAATTCTTATATGTACTTCAAAATAATTTCTAACAAAAATGGTGCATGCTTTTTATAGAATATTGACGAAAATCAAAAGAAGAGGGAAAAACTCACTATTTACCACTATTAATATTTCGATGTGTAGTTTTTCCAGTCATTTTTCTATATATAATCATTGTACATACTATATACATATACAATTAAATAAAAAATGGGGTCACACTAAATGTTCTTTGCTAGACTCTGATTTTTATAGTTTTATAATTATTTTTATTTAATATTGAGGAGACAGAAAATACAGATTGAGAATAAAAAGAAACAGCACAGCAAACATCCTTGCCGCCACCGCCTCGTATGACCTCTGCAATCCTGGTCCCACTCTCTTCCTCCTCTGAGCGATCTCTCTCACAAACATTGTTCATACCGTACTGTTCTTTTCTTGTAGTTTCACCATGTATGTTTAAATCTTAAATAGTGTATTTTTAGTTTTGTAGGTTTTTGAGCTTTACATAAATAGAACCATTTCATGTATTCTTCCGCAGCTTTTTTCTCCCTCCACTTTATGCTTGTGAGAGTCGCCCGTATCACTGAGTGTAGCTCTGGTACATTGGCTTCCACTCCTGATGGAATTTCAGTGTGTGAATATACTACGATGCATTTTTCATTTGTCCGCTTTTATTTTTTGCTAACTAACAGGGCTGCTTATGGGTATTCTTGCTCACGTTTCCTGCTGTACATGTGCGAGGGTATCTGTGAGATGTATTTAGGAGTGGGAGTGCTGGGTCTTTGGCTGTGGACACCTTTACTGGACATAACAGTACTTTCCAAAGCGATAGGACCAGTGCACGCTGCCAGCAGCAGTGTGTACATATCAGTTGTTCCACATCCTCTCTAATGTTAATACTTCTCAAATGTAATATTTAATTAAATTGGGAGGGAGGGACACAGGAAAGAAGGAAGGAAAACTTTGTTCTTTCCAAACGCAGAATCCAGAACTAGGTACTCATAGTTAATAGATATTGCTGGTTTGATGAATTTCTTACAATGTCTGCCTGGACGCAGCTCATTGCAGCCGCTGAAATCCTCTGTGTGACTGAAGGGAAAAAGGTGAGAGGAAGTACGAGGAGGCATGTGATCTCTCAGAACATTTAGTAAATAACACAATTCAAAATCGAAAAGGAATTACAACCATAATATAGCATACATAAATTTAAAATAAAGGTAAACAGAGCCCTAGAGTTTGTCTGGAAGTGGCTTCTGAGTCGCAGGGGTCTTGTCTGGCTCAGGGCCCTGTGCCCAATCTGTTCGCATGTCTAGGGCTTTCCTCACTGGTTCCAGACCCCTCAGGGATCTAATTCCACTTGCTGATGTATTCCTGGACTCATACCTTGCTGGGGTCGGCACAGACCTGTCCAGTCTCTTATATGGAGGAAGCAGTGGTGCGAGGAAGAGGTATATAAAAAAGAAACAATTCAGCAGCAGAATGCCTGTGAGAAGCTCTCTCTCTGCTCCATGTTTCTCTCTGTTCTGGGGATCTCAGAGCCAGTCTATTTTCAGAGCCAGGACTATTCCCCTGAATCTCAAGGTCCGTAGACCTTTTTTCATTGCTCACCGGGGCTGACTTCCTCCTGCTGTCCCTTCCTCTTCTCTCTCTCCCCTGCACAGAGGCAGCTCTTCCCTGACTCCCCGCGGGCCCTATGCGGAAACACCCAGAGACCTCTCCCTGTCTCCTGCACATCTGGCTAGGCCCCAGGGGGCTCGGCTTTCCCAGGATGGGCCTCTATTCACCTGCCTGTGCCCTGTGGACTATGCTCCACTCCATGTCCTGCAGGATCTCTCTCTCCCCAGCGGTGGGCAGGAGGACTGGCCCTGCCGTGGCACCAGGCTGGGAACGTCAGCTGCTGATCTCTAATAGGAAATTTGTGAGGGGCCCAGTGAGAAATGTATGAGAAGCAGCAAGAGTTTATCAGTTTTATTAATCTTTCCAAATGACCAATTTTTGACTTTGCTGACTTTTCTCTTTTGTTTGTCCATTTTCTGTTTCATTGCTTACCAATCTATTTTCTTACTTCTACTTACTTTGGGTTGAATTTGCTCAATTTTTCCTAGCTTCTTGAGGTGGAAGCTCTATTCGTTTCACCCTTTCTTCTTTTTGAATAGAAATATTTAAAGCTATAAATTCTCTTCGAGGTTCTGCTTTAGCTTCATAATGCCAGTTTTTTGTATGATTTGTTTCATCATCATTCAGTTCAAAATACTTTTTTATTTCCCTGGTGATTTCATCTTGGTTCTATGAGTAATTTAAAATTGCATTCATTATTTCCAAATATGTATATATATTTTTAAGGAAGATTGTCCCTGAGCTAACCTCCATGCCCATCTTCCTCTATTTTGTATGTGGGATGCTGCCACAGCATGGCTTGATAAGCGGAGTGTGGGTCCGTGCCTGTGATCTGAACTGGTGAACCCCAGGCCGCCAAAGCAGAGCACGCAAACCCAACCACTATGCCACCAGGCTGGCCCCATATTTGGGTGTTTTTTATATATCTTATTGTTAGTGATTTCTAGTTCAATTCCACTATGGTCAAAGAATATACTCTGTGTTATTTTAATTCTTGCATATTTACTGCGACTTGTTCTTGGCCAGCATATAGAATGTCTCAGTGAATGTCCCATGTACACGTGAAAAGAATATGTATTCTGCACTCACATTTTTCAGCAGTTGATTGTGTTGTGCTTAGCTGTCATTTTCTTTGTATTTATCTTGCTTGGGGCTCCTGAGCTTTGTGGCTCTGTAGTTAGATGTCTTTCATCCATTGTCTTCAAATATTTTTTCTTCCCCATTCTCCCACTTTTTCTGGTACTCCAAACACGTGTGTTACTTTGATGTTTTCTTACGTATCTTGGATGTGCTCTTCTTTTTTATTGTCAACTTTTCTTTTTTGCTTTTTGTGTTTCAGTTTAGATGTTTTCTGTTGACCTGTCTTTAAGTCTCCTGATTTTTTTCCTTTGCTCTGTCTAGTTTGCTATTAGCTCAGCTAATACCTCTTTGATTTATATGATCTTGTTTTTCATTTCTAGCATTCCTTTTGGTTCTTTATTTTTTTTTGAGGAAGATTAGCACTGAGCTAACATCTGCTGCCAATCCTCCTCTTTTTGCTGAGGAAGACTGGCCCTGAGCTAACATCCGTGCCCATCTTCCTCTTCTTTATATGTGGGACGCCTGCCACAGCATGGCTTGCCAAGCGATGCCATGTCCACTGGTGATCCCTGGGCTGCCAAAGTGGAATGTGTGCACTTAACCACTGTGCCACCGGGCTGGCCACCTTTTGGTTCTTTTTAAAGGTCAGTGTTTCTGATGAAATTCCCATCTCTTCATTCATGCTGATCACCTTTTCTACCAAATATTTAATCATTTTATCATAGTTTTTTAAGAGTCTCCATTTGGTAGTTCCAACATCTGGGCCATCTCTAGTTCTGCTTTTATTAAATATTTCTTCTTTTGATCACAGCTCATAACTTTTGATTGATGTGTTGGGCATTTTGTGTTGAAGAACCGTAGGGACTGAAACAACTAATATACCCAGAATAGGCATACTTCTTCACTCAGGCTGCTAGAGTATGGGACTGATTCCACCTGATCTGTAGTTGAGCTGGATCTGGGCTTTGTGGCAGTTTTAGTTTGACTCAGTTCACACTGGCTTTAAATATCCTGAGGGGAAGAGCAAGACTTTACCTTCAGCAAGGTTTGGGATGTGAGCACTGGCGAAATTCTCAAGATCTCTTTGTGCTGCCAGCTTTGTGAACCACAAGAGATCTTTTTAATTTATAGCCCATTTGCCCACCTGGGTCACTGGTAAATTGCTCTCAGCTTTCTGCACCTCAGGAGATTTCTCTTTGTTTCTTAACCATAGAATTTGCAGCCTTATAATCTGCAAAGGGGTGGAACGCCCCAGAGGGGTTTCTCTATCCTCTCCTGTCCCTGACTTCAGTAGCTAAAAGCCCAGAGCATCCAAGAATGTTTTCTCTCATCTCTCCTACCCCCTGCCTTGATAGCTGAATGCATGTAGGACCTTATGTTTATTTGTCTTGGATTTCCTGCCATGCCCTCAGCCTTTCGTAGCTGAAAACTTGGAGAAACTTGGATGAATTTCTTTCATCTGTCCTGCCCCCGTGCCTTTGCAGTGTAGTTACTTTGAACTTGGTCGGGGCTCCACATGTCTCAGAGGGTTCCCTTTCAGCTCTGCTGCCCCAGCCTTTAGTATGCTAACTATGCTCTCGGTGAAGACTTGTAGAAAAGCCTTGGCAGATGGGTGCAGGCTTGCTCTGTGTCTGAAGCTCCCTGGAATCCTAATCTGTTTTGCTAACTCACACATGGCTATTTGAAGTTAAACTTCAGAAGGTCACTTTTTGGAGTTTAGTTCATTTTGCTTAATTTTTTTCCATTTTTCCATTTCTTATGAGTGTGTGTGATATCATGATTATTGAGGTATGATTTAAATACAGATAAAGTCATTTTTAAGTGTGTAGTTTGAGGAGTTTTGAAAAATGCATAAAGTCATGTGACTGTCCCACAATCAAGATTTAGAACATTTCCACTACTCCAAAAAGTTCCCTTTTGCTTCTTTTGCATCAATCACCTGCCCTCATCCCCAGTCCTTGGCAACCGCTGATCAGATTTCTGCCCCTACAGTTTCAACTTTTCCATAATATTATGTAAGTGGAATAACTCAATATATAGCCTTTTCAGTCTGGATTTTTTTTGCTTAGTATTGTACTTGTGAGATTTATCCATGTTGTTGCATGTATCAGTAATTGGCTCTTTTTTGTTGCTGAGTAATATTCCATTGTATGGAGGTATAGTCAGTCCTGCTATAATGCTTATTTGGAAAATGTGAATTTATTCCAATTTGATTGCTACATTAGGAAACAATTTGAGCATAACACAAATTCTTCCATTTGCTTACATGTGATTTTATCTGTGAAAAATACCACATGATCAAGCCTCTTAGGAATATACAAAATACACAGACACACTCACACATCTCAAACACCTACCAGCTACCTCAGTTCACTGCATATGTTATGAACAACACTCATCCACAACTGGAATTATAACTTTCTCTCTGATTTCAGACAACTCTCCTTCTACCACTTCATAATAACTCAATAAGCTGCAATACTTCTGACTCTCACTTTGCGAGAAAACTTCAGGTCTTTTTTCAAAGTGCTGCATTTATTGTAGCATTTATATTAGCTATTTAACATGTATAAAACTGTGCTCCATTTTTATTAGATTCCTATTTTTTTATTGAGGTGACATTTGTTTGTAACACTATATAAGTTTCAGGTATACAACATTATAATTGGACGTCTATGTACACCACAGTGTGCTCAACACCAAAAGTCTAGTTTCCATCTGTCACCATACAATTGACCTTGTTTACTCATTTCGCCCACCCCGCAACCCGCTTCCCTTCTGGTAACCACCAATCTGTTGTCTGTATCTATGAGTTTGTTTTTGTTTTGTTTTGTTTGTTCATTTATTTTATTTTTGTTTTTATATTCCATATGAGTGAAATAATATGGTATTTACCTTTCTCTGTTTGACTTATTTCACTTAGCATAATACCCTCAAGGTCCATCCATGTTGTCACAAATGGCAAGATATAGTCTTTTTTTCTGGCCGAGTAACATTCCATTGTATCTATATACCACATCTTTGTTATCCATTCGTCTGTTGATGGACACTTAGCTTGTTTCCATATCTTGGCTATTGTAATTAATGCTGCAGTGAGCATAGGGGTTCATATATCTCTTTGAATTAGTGTTTTTGTGTTCTTTGGATGTATACCCAGAAGTGGAATAGCTGGGTCATAAGGTAGTTCTGTTCTTATTTTTTTGAGGACTCTCCATACTGTTTTCCATAGTGGCTGCACCAATTTACATTCCCACCAACAGTGTACTAGGGTTGCTTTTTCTCTGTGTCCTCTCCAATACTTATTATTTCTTGTCTTTTTGATAATAGCCATTCTAATGTGTGAGGTTATATCTCGTTGTGGTTTTGATTTGCATTTCCATAATAATTAGTGATGTTGAACATCTTTTCATGTGCCTATTGGCTGTCTGTGTGTATTTTTGGAAAGATGTCTATTTAGATCCTCTGTCCATACTTAAATTGGATTGCTTGTTTTTTTTGTTGTTGAGTTATATAAGTTCTTTATATATTTGGATATTAACCCCTTATCAGATATATGGTTTGCAAATACGTTCTCCCATTCAGTAGATTGCCTTTTCATTTTGTTGATGGTTTCCTTTGTTGTGCAGAAGCTTTTTAATTTGATCTAGTCTCATTTGTTTTTGCCTTTGTTTCCCTTGCTGTTGGAGTCAAATCCACAAAAACATCAC